CTAATTATAGTTAACCTAACATGCTGATTAAGATTAAATGAGAATCATGGATGGTATTAAGTGCAAGCCAGTGCAGAGGCACCTAGTGGGCAGGTAATAAGTGGTAACTAGTGTGCATTTAGCAAAGTCATGCTGGCAACAATATTAATAGTGTGTCCTGTGCTTATGCTACCATGCTTCTCCTGGTTGCCACCATGCCATGGTACTTTAGAAGGTGGTGCTCTGCAACATGGTATCATTGTACATTTATTAACTCTCTTTCAAGGGCTCAAGATGTCTTCCGTCAGGCGATGAAGTCCCCAGGTGTGGTCCTCCATGTGCTTCCACCTCAAAACCGTGAACAGTATGAAAAATCAGTCATTGGACCTCTTAACATTTTTGGTAACAGCGATGGCGTTTTGAAAACAAAGGTGCCACCTCCTGTCCATGTCAAATCTGGACTAAAGACGGTTAATCTCACAGGAACAAATAGTCCTGAAGCAGATGCATCAAATTCTCTGCAACAAAACAAGAGTCCCCGAATACCAAGACTTGGAAGAAAACCATCATCTCCCTCACTCTCCCCTCTCATGGGATTTGGCAGCAAGAAAAATGCAAAGAAAATTAAGATTGACCTAAAGAAAGGTAATTATTAAATTATGCTTAACAGCATTCTATTATTGTAACATGTAAAATTGGTTAAGAGAAATGCATTAAGGCTAATTTAGTTAATTCTCCCTTCATTTAATTGTATCAAAGAATAGATTTAAGTGTATACTTAGGTAACTTAAATTTCTTGAAATTGTAGTACTTTCTTATTCTTTTTCTTCTGGAGAGTATAGATTGCTTGAAACAAGAAAATAATAAAGACATGATGGGGAGTGGAAAAAATCACTGTGAACTTGATAGTAACAGCAATTTTGTGTTACAACATGATACTAAATAGGCACTAAAATTCAGTCTTTCCTGTTTTGAGCAACAATTAGTGATTTTTGAAGCAGCTCTTAGGCCAAGTCTAAAAAACATATTGTCTCTCTAAGACAGTGCCATAACAGCAAAAATTTTAATCCTCAGAAAGCAAATATATAATGATCACTAATTTCACTGATTCAACACTGCATACATTTTTCCAAAACATACCTAATTTGAAAAGCATGTACAATCTTTCCTTTCTTCATCTTTTCTAACTTTTCTATTTCAAGCACAGATCAGTGAGAATAGACCATGTGTGTACATGCATATTTATGCAACATTATGTACATACACATAAGCATTCATGTGCTTCTGTGCTTTTGTTCATTTTGTAACCTCTGCCTGATATTCCCTTCCCCCGTTTCACCCTTCTGAAATTCTGTGTTTTTCAAGTAATTCAAAGAAACTGAGATCCCATAGATTCTTTTCTGAATAATAGAGAATTTAAGGTCACGAGGTAGTTTTAGAATACCTATTAACATATAACATATTTCAAAACCAAATAATATATATCTTTAATTAGGATATGGAAATGATTCTGAAAAAATTCTCTGATCAAAATTTCATTCACCTGTAAGAATTCTATCCTGGGAAGAAAATGTACTGACTAGAAGGCACAATATTCCAGTGTGCTTAGTAACTAGGTTTTTATTAAAATGCATCAGTTGTGTTTTTTTGTACAAATTATCCAGCTATGTATAAGACACAGATTAGGATGCTTTGAGGATAGAAAATCACACAATAGAAATCAGACACAGAATCACCTTAAAAATCCATCAGAAAGCCTTGAATGCAAAAATGAAGAATATGACATCACAGCTGTACTTTGGGAAGATTAATCTGACGGCAAAAAGATATACTGAAGAAGAGATAACACAACAAAGGATCAGTAAAGGGTGCATGGCATCTGTCTTAATGTGGAAATATAATATGCATGCCTTAATAGATGACTGGTTGTAGGGAGGAAGAAAGAGAAGAATTACAGTTATTGCTGAGGTTTTCAGCCAGAGCAACTTGCATAATGGAGATGTCATTGCTAGAAATTAGAATCTTAAGTAGATGAGGATATTTGAAAAGGTCAGGATCTGGATGAGAGAAGGGCGGGGTATGCAGTCACATTCGAAATATGCGTGGTAATATCTAGGAGGCTGACATCAGAAAGAGATCTTAAGACAAAACCAAGAGATTTAGGTCTCTTCCATAGGGAGATAATAGTTTGAGCCAGGAGCTGGCCAAGGCAGGGAATCTAGAGGACAGATTGGCCCAGTACAGAGCCTTGGGGAGCATCTGTGGTTACAAGGGAGGACAGTGGGTAAGAGAGAGAGAGTGACAGATGTGATGTGATCAGAGAGGTAGGGAAATAATCAGAAAATAAGGACATGAAAAGCAAAGAGGGAGTGAAGTTCAGTAAAATGACTGGTATGAAGTGTCAAGGGGAAAAGAATGTCAAATGTCAAGAATGTGGTCGTGGGCAGGTCACTGGTGATAGAAGCATGACGAAGCAGTAAGATTGAAGCTAGCGTCCTTTAGGGTAGAGAAGTCTGAGCATATCTTTAGACCCAGTGAAAACACACCAGAAGGGAGAAATTAGAGATGCCAGAAAGCAGGGCAGGAGC